ACTCACCTCAGCCTCCCAAAGGCGTGGGATTACAGGCTGAGTCACCGAGCCCGGCTTGTGAGTCTTTTTTTAATAGGTCAAGATGAAGGTCAAATGAAGTCATGTATTATCTGAAAGTGCCTAATAAGATGTTAGATCTTCAATCTTTCTGTCACCTATGTTTTACATGGGTACCTAAATGTTTTCAGTCAATAAAGAAAGGAATCAGCCTGCTGTTCATTTGAGAAAGTAGGGAGCTTCCTACCCTGCCTTCCCCTTCCAAGCACTTAGTGAGAGTTGCTTCTACCCAGTTACTGAATTCTTTAGGAAAACAGAGAAACAAAGCTTGTTATTACTTTTAAAATATTATGCTGATGGTATGGTTGCTCCGCAGAGCAATCAGCAGTATCTGGCATCACATCAGGTGCTGGGAGGGATAGCAGTGTCCGATCCCGCAGATTGTGTGGAGGACCATGTGCAGGCCCATGCTCCTGCTCTGCGAGGAAACCTGGGTGAGTAGCATAGAGACTCTCCTGCTTTGACTCAATCACCAGGAAACCTCTGGGACCAAATCCCCACAAGCTCCCAAGGAATAATCCAGTGGTTACAACCCAAGAACACACCGTATCCCGACACTGCAGCACTCTCAGGGGACTTTTCCCCTAGCGCTTCTGTCGCGGCTTTCAGCTGCTCCTTCAACCTGCTGATGTCGCAATCGGCCTTTGCCTTCGCAATGCTGAGCTCCGTGTAGATGTCTTTGTACTTGTCACTAGCATACTTCTTGTCCTTGGCAGTGAAATGACAGAAGCAAATGGTAGTTACAGATAGGGAGGAAGGTCCCGCATTTCCCACCTATCTCCTGGGGGCTGATCATGATGAGACGACTGGCTGCAGGCAGGAGAGGAGGCTTGGTAACCTCTGTTTTCCAGAGGCAGAAACTGAACACAAAGGAAAACCACAGGGCCTAAGGACATGGACAAGGCTGTCTGAACATGGTACAAGAATTCCCAGGTCTGGTGAGCACAGACAGGCAATGCTCAAGGCTGGCTGGCCAGCCTGGTATGGCCTTCAGTGTCCAGGACCCGCCCTTGTGGGTTTCAGCCTGGAAAACCCTGTCTGGCTTGAATTTTCTAAGCGACTGGCCAGTCAGGCCTCATCTCACTTCACAAGATTCCTCTTTTTGTTTTTTTTGGTGCCTTTTAATCCCAGGACTTTTCTCTTGGGTTTCACCGTTCCCGCTGAAGCACACAAAAAATACATAAATGAAAAGGACAACTATTGTAAGCTGGCCTTTTAAGAGAACTCCATTTTGAAACTGCCTTCCTCATGACAGTGAAATCTGCTCTAGAACAGCCTGTGCTGAGTCCCAGGCTGTGAATTTGGGAGATGTATGTCACCTAGAGCCTGTCCCCAGACCAGCCCTCTCATAGTGTTACCCGCAATGCCGTCTGTAGCTCGTCCTTGAGGGAGCTAATTTCCTGTTTCAGGTACTGTATCTCCGACTCCTTGACCCGCAATAAGACCTAGAGAGAGAAAAATCAGAGATCAACATTGAAGAGGGGGAGGGACTGTGGCCATTCAGGATGCCCCCACCTCCCAAGGGCACTGCTCCACCCATGGTTCCCCTACCACTGGCAGCTAACTGCTCCTTTGCCACTGTGGGGTGACTTTTGGAGCTTCCTGTGCACTTCCACTCTTGCTGTCTCACGTCTTGTCCTTCCAACAACCCTGTCTCCCCTTGGGCTCCAGGGGTACAGAGATGAGTAAAGCAGGGTCTGGCTACCAACAGTACCTCCAACTCATAGGCATCCTTCCCTTGTGTGAGAGGTGACCCAGCAGCCTCTCCACCACCGTCCCCAGTTAGCAGCGTCCGTAACCGTGTGATCTCCGCAGCCAGGCGGTTGTTCAGCTCCTAGGGGACAGCAACACAGCAGAGATACTCCCAGAGCTGCCTGGGCTGGGTCATACACACAACCTGGGAAGGCCCTTTCTCACCATCATCGTGCAAAGACCAGGTGCCCAGGCATGGGCCTATGAGCAGCACTCATGCACATTGTTGGAGCTGAGATCCAGTGCACGAGAATGTCGCTACCTGTGGCTTGCAGCCCTCTCAGAGCTGTTGATATGGGTTCTTTAAGCACTTGGAGAACTGTGTACATGGCATGTGATCAATAACCCTAATTACCTTCTGTCACAATAACTAGCATCAGTTTATTTCCTGGTTTGTCCCCTGTGAGCTCTTACAGAATGACACCACTCTCTGGGCCTGCTTTCCAGCTGACAGTGGTCATTGTCAAGCCACAACAGTGACTGAGTGGCCCCAGTCCTGTCTGATCAGCCTCATCATCATACACGGTGCTGTGCAGTGGGCTGTGGTCATGGGGAGGCCCTGGGCGAGGGCGAGGCTGTGTGCCCAGTACCAAGGGGAGTTCTCGCAGGGTGCGGTTGTACAGTGGGTTGTTTAAATTGATGCTCACAGAAAAGCTAATGTTGAACTTAACCTGATTCAAACCTTTCAGTTAGCCAGGATTTAAATGTACCTCAATTTTCTGAGGAACAGGTAAATTCTAAAACATTCTGACAAATTAAATGTGAGGAGGGTACATGACTCTGAGCAGTTTCAGCTCAGTCTCACCCTAGCGGCTGGGAGATCCTGATGGTCCTCCCAGGCTCTGCCCAGCAACAACAAACCAGAGATACAGAGACAACATTAAGATATCTCAGAGTCTCAGAAAGGGCCAAAGCAAGAGTGATTCCACACGTAGATGTTGATTGTGTGGCACTACAGCCTTGCTCCAGCTACCTGCAGTAAGTATCTGTCAACAAAGAGAGATATCAGATGGCCATATGCTGGTTGGCAAGAAGCCTCAGGGTCAGGCAGCCACTGCATGGCTCGGCGACCCTCGGGACCACCTACAGGATGAGGCCTGGCCCCAGCTCTAGCGTGGGCTCTTGAGCCATGGGCTCACCTGGTTGTGGGCGTTGAGCTCCTGGTTCTCGCGCTGGCACTGCCGCAGGGCCTGCCGCTCAGCCTCCAGCGCCTGGGCCAGGTGGGCATTTTCCAGACACTTCTGCGAGTACTGCTCTGAGAGGACCTCCAGCTCCCGCTGCACTGACTGCAGCTCCTCCCTGGGGAGAGGACAGCGCTCACTCCTCTGCCTGCTTCAGGGACCCAGGCCTCTAGAGGCCTCGTGACCCTTCTGGACACCAGAGTGAGCTGAACACAGAGGCCAGGTCTGCACAGTCTGTTGTCCCAATCAGCTTGTGCCATTTAGAGTTAAGAGACTCCTTACAGAGATAGGTCACACATCTCTCCTGGTCCTCTTTCACACAACCCAGTAGTCCTACAGTCAGCACTTCTCTGAGGATACCAGTCAGGGCAGAATCCAGTCCTCATGGCCATACAGACATCTCATTTCTGGGACTGACTTGGGATTTGTTTTCAGTAAACCAACTTTTGAGGCCATCTGTGTCTGACAGCCAGAATCAGGTTCTATGCAAGATGTAGAAAACCAGCCTTCGTGAGGCTGCTCTGGTCACCCTGGATCCAGAAGGGCCATTTCTCCCACAGGAGGAACTAGGGACAAGGGGCTTCCTAATGAGCTGCCCAGGTTCCAGCCCTGGCCACCTCGCCCCAGATGAGGTGAGCATGACCCTCTACAAGATGCTTCCCAAGCTGCTGTGACCTTAGCGCCTGACTGCACTGCCCACTCCTAAGGTAAGGACCCTGGCTTCTGTGACACTACAAATACTCCAGATAAGTACCACATAGCTGTAACAGTGGCCAGTCTCCCAGTCATATCAATTCTATGGAAAAATCAACAGCAACTGTTCTGGTATCAGCTCTTCATACTCCTGCCTATGCAGAGGGAATCAGTGCATGTGTGGTTTTAAACCACAGCGATTGTGGTGGCTTCTGCCACAAACAGCCACAGAGTGTGGGGCACCAAGTCTCAGTTGCCTGGCTACTGGTAGGCTAGTGACGCAGTAGCTGCTGCATCTTGTTCTTTGCATTTCAGGGATCAATTCTTTTCTTTTCTTTTTTTTTGAGTTGGAGTCTCACTCTGTCGCCCAGACTGGAGTGCAGTGGCCGCTCCCGGCCACCATAGCCTCGACCTGCTGGGCTCCGGCGATCCTTCCGCCTCAGCCTTCCAAGTAGCTGGAACTACAGGCGTGTGCTACCACGCCCGGCTAATTTTTGATTTATTGTAGAGATGAGGTCTCGCCAAGTTGCCCAGGCGGGTCTCGAACCCGCGGGCTCAGGCAATCCACTCACCTCAGCCTCCCAAAGGCGCGGGATTACAGGCTGAGCCACCGAGCCTGGCTAGGGATCAATTCTTATTTGAATATAGGAGGCTTCACTTGGGCCACTTCCTGTCACTGGACTGAAGGGTGTCTGTGCTGCCCTCAGCACCCATGTACCCCTGGGACCCAACTCTCAGAGGTCTTTGCAAAGACACAGAAGGGCACCAGCTTGCTGCCTGGCTGCTCCCCCTCCCCTGTCAGCTGCTCTCTCCAGGGGTCCCTCCAACAGGCAGGATGTGGCAGGGCCAGGCCCACTCACAGATATTGCCGCCTCAGGGCCTCGATGTCTGAGTTGATGCTGCTGATCTGGGATCGCTGGCTCTTCTCCAGTTCCCGCTCCATCTCCTCCCGGTGAGCATTCTTCATGGCTTCAATGGCTGCAGGCAAGGACACATCCTCAGCACCAAGGGGTCATGCCTTCCCTCTCCATGATTAGGGACAAGTTCCATGGAACAAGGTGACATTTGCCTGCTATTAACACTTAATCAATCAGTAGTTGGATTTTCTTTGACAGGCTAGCCCTTCACAAACCAATTCTCTGAGGTGGATGCATGCTGGAAGAATTCCCAATGAACTACCCTTATTCCCTAGAAGGGATGCAGAGGAGTGTGTGTGTGTGTGTGTGTGTGTGTGTGTGTGTGTATTAGAAGAAAACCAAACTGATTAAATAAATGTCAATGTTAAATTTAAACATGAGTTTAAAACAAGCTTTTGGGCTGGTGTATTTTCTTCCTTGGCACTAAAATAACATACCACTGTAAAGTAACAATTAATGACGAATTAATGACACAGAGGAAAGACAACATAAAACAGAAGGCAGTGCTTGCTCAGGACCCTCATGCTCTGATGTTACTGGGTACTCTGGCCAGAGGCGGTCTCATGCTGACAGGTGTCTGTCAAGAGGAAAAGCCACCCATCAGTCTGATGAGGCTGGGACAGGCCCTCAAGTGTAGCCAATCACATTGATGGTCAGTGCGTTGGAGTGCTGGCTCTTGACAGGGAAGTGCTCAAAGGCTCCTAAAACTAGCTGCTGCCTCAGAGCAAATAGAACCCTCTTCAACGATGCTTAAATCTCAGACAAAAGGAAATTCAAAGTTGCCTGAGTTGTTCATTTAGTTCAAGAAAAGTCAACCATCTGACTTGCCCTTGGGGTCATCCCAGCCTTCACCTGAGATGGTAGCCGCTGTCTCCTCAGCCAGGAGGCGGTCTTTCTCCTCCCGTAGTTTCTCCAGCTCCCGCTGATGCTGCCTCTGCAAATCTTCAATCTTCTTCTGATGTGTTTCCTCCATTGCTGCAAACCCTCGCTCGCATGTGGCCTGCAAAACACAAAAGGAACTTTGTTGATGTCTTTCTTTACCCTTCAAGTTGGGTGCCCTGTTTAATAAGTGAGCCAGCAACCCTGCCCCATCCAGGCTCCACTGTGGCTCGACACTCACTGAACATGCCTGGGCAGCCTGAGGGTGAGCAGGCTCCCTGGGCTGTCTGGAAATTCTCATGAATGCTGATACTAATCTGAGCATCTAGAAAAGGGTGTTCACGTATGTAAATTCTATATCTTATTTATGTGACTGGTCTGAGCCCTATTTACTTGCAGGGAGGAGTTGGTAGGATAGGTGCAGAGAGGCTGCCTTGAAATTTAAGCCAGCCAATCCTGTACCTTCCTGTGTCGCTGCCATGTAGGATCCACATGAAGGAGAACAGAGCACATGTGCGGAGGTTGGTTGTGTCTGGGGTAGAACGACACAGTGAGAGGCTCTGGATGCCCATCCAATAATGATGAGGGATCTTTCCACTAGATGGAACCAAGCCAGCCCATGAATGGTGGGTAGCCCAGCAGGCTCCGGGCTAGGGACTCTCTCATTCAGTGGTGGACTGGAAGTACACAGAGCCCACTTCTGGAGATAAGGGGTCTGGCCCTGCTCTAGCCAGCTGGCAACCTTAAACTGGTCATTTAACCACTCAGGTGTCATCTGAGGGAATAAGATCTCATCCATTCTAGCCTGAGTCTTTCTTCCTGTTTGTTTCAAAGGAGAGTAAAGATGGGCACCAATTAATTAGTGCCTCTGCTAACTATAAGAAGACATAGAAGGCCTGCTTTCCAGCTCATCTGTGCCTTGTTACACCCTGGAAGGACACAGGAATGCTGCAGGAAGAGAGCAAGCCACCCCACATGCACCTGGGAAGCCAGGCCTGGTTACCAGAGTTGTGCTCACCAACCCAGGAGGGTTGGGGTGTGCGGGTATTTTGCGTATGGGAACACACTTTCTAAATTCCCTACAAGATCCACTAGAGGATACGGATCAGGCCTTTCATCGAGTTTTAGAAACTGGAAGAATATGGCCATGTCACATTCCAAATACAAGTATGGGGCGATGCCCCACTCCAGACTCCCAACTTTATACCACTTGGCCAGTCTTCTTGCTCATGGATTCAAGAAGGGATGCCAAGAAATCCACTCACCATGCTCAGTTAGCCGAGGGCCCTTTCAGAGAGCCTCAGGCAGTACTGCCAAACTCCTGGTCAGTCTGGACTTGACTGCAACATATTTGCAGCACTGGGCAAATGTCTCAACTACTGTCCCACTACTGGGCATCCCCTCTCAGTGACTTCATCTGGAAGCGCCTGTCTCCCTCACCCCTCAGGATGGCTACAGGAACTCCAGAGCTGGCTCCTGGCCCTCGGACCCTGATGTTGAGCTCCTTGTTCTCCCTCCCGCTCTGATTCATATGTAGCTCTAAGTAACATACTTAACTAGCAGGTCTTTCGAGTCCCTTCCCCCCACCCCTCCGGCCTATTTTCTAGCCAAAAATCTTATTTTGATTTGAGTGTTTTGGAACATATAAAAATAAGGAATAAAAATCTAACAGAAGCACTAATGTATCTTTAAAGACCCAGCTGCTTCTTTGGAGAGAGTTTATTTAAAAAAAAAATTGATCTGCTAACAAATTTTAAAGTCAGTTATTCCTGGGACCATGACTGATTCTATACAGAGTCAGGGTGTGATATGGGCAGACCTCAGCCTGTGTGTGTCAGAGAAGGGGCTCTCTGGCCAAAACTTAGTCAGGTTAGTCACAGCCACCAGCTAGGCTCTCGCAAGGTGCCATCTGGCTACAAATTCTGCATGTCTGAAGGGGTGAGTGAGAACACCACACCCAGGCTGGAAGCTCCCAGGCACAAAAGGGGACGCTATGCAATGGTGGCTAAGGGAGCGAACAGAGTCCAAGCCCCTGGAGCCCCATCGTGATATGTACTCAAGGGGCCTCCCCCTGGCAACACCGGACCCAGCACAACCTCTGTCGAATTTTCAACATGAGGCAGTCCTCTTCTTTCAGATTCCTTGTCACCTGTTGCTATGACATCACAGCACTGGACATTGTCTATACCTGGCTAACCTCCAACAGGCTCACCATGGAGGGGGCGCTTGTGGATGCAAACAGGAAGTAGGTCACTGCTGCAGGGGATGCAGTCAGGCCCTGCCCCCACAGACCATACTGGGCGTTTGGAAAGCTGCTGGGTGTTCTGCAGGAAAGAGCACTCGGAAGGATGTTTGGGAAAGGCTTGTGCAGTTTACTTTTCCAAGTATACCTGGCCCCATCTGGATGCTGTGCTCAGTCATCTGGCCATAGCATCATCATTTAGACACTTTTGTAAAACAGCTGTTAAAACTGAGAATTCATAAGTTTCTAAAAAGTTTTGATTGACTGGGGAAAGAATGGTGGTAAAGGCTGAGATGACCACACCTGCTTGCCTGGGCAGGGGCTGCTTTGTCACACAGAGGTCATGCAATGAGCTGCTAACTCACAGCATGGCTTCATTTTTCATTCAGAGCTAGAGGAGTAAGGTGGTGGGAAACAAACCCATGGGTGTCCTGCTGGACAGTGGCTCATGACTGGTCCAGGATACAGTGTGTGAATCCAGCTCTGCCGTGTGAGTGGGGGAGGCACCATCTGATCACAGTTTGCGAGGGGCCTGGACATTTACTGGGGCAGCTTCCGGGGGGAAGAATGTAAGGGAACAGGTATCAGGGCAAACTTCTGCATCTAAGGAATGGCAAGATGTTCACAAAGACGCCCGGCAGCCACACATGTGGTGTGGCCTGTAACTACAAAGTGGGGACCAGACAGCCTAGGTGTCCATTGACCCCAACCCCTGAGGGCACTGGCATGTCACCTTTGTGTGCCAGGGCCTCACAGGATGGGGGTGTGGGACCAGTTCCCAGGGAAAGCCTACTTTTTTTTTTTGTTTTTGAGTTGGAGTCTCACTCTGTTGCCCGGCTGGAGTACAGTGGCACGCTCACGGCCACCAAAGCCTCTACCTGCTGGGCTCAGGTGAACCTTTCACCTCAGCCTTCCAAGGAGCTGGAACTACAGGCATGTGCCATCATGCCTGGCTAATTTTTTTGACTTATTGTAGAGAAGAGGTTTCCCATGGGCTCAGGCAATCCTCTCACCTCTGCCTCCCAAAGTGCTGGGATTATAGGCATTAGTCACCACGCCCAGCCAGAAGCCTACTTTTCAAAGCTCCTGAGAAGGGAACAAGAGCGGTTAGAGGCCATGCTTAGTAGGAAGACACTTCTCACCACAGCGCCCATCAAACGCCTTTGGGAGAGGGGCGTTTGACACTGTCTTGCAAATATTCCTAACTGTTGGGAAAACCCAGCACCACTCTGTTAGGGCAGTCAGGAGGAGGCTGCCCTCCAAGGTGGCTTTGGGCCCCAGGGTCTGTGCTAGACTAGACGGGGCTCTGTGGGGGGTAGGAAGAAGGCAAGGCTGGGGGCAGGGAGCAGGGACTGCTCTGGGGAAACATAGAGAGGCCACCTTAAGCAGGTGGAGAGGCAATGGGAAGATTACACTCTCCTCTCGCACCAGGGATCCTGATGCCTTCCTGCTAGCTCTCCTTCTAGGTGGTGATGCTGAACAGAAGGCCAAGCTGTGGCTCAGGTCCTGCTCGGAGACCACACCATGGCCAGCGAACAGAGAGACAGCAGCATGTCCCTTGATTCTGCCTGCACAGCTGAGAGCCAAGAAGCATCTCTAGTTCCACCCTAAGAGCCAGACGCCCCAACACCTGCTCCCATCTCAAGGAGAATCTGCTTTGCAAATAGAATGGTGAGGTAAGACCTTGAGGTTCTCAAAGTCCCTCTGATACTTCTCCCGAAGTGTCGCCGCGTCGCCTTCTAGGTCCTTGTGGCCCAGCTCCTCCCGCATGATATTCATCTGGGCCTCCAGCTCCTGGATACGCTCCCTCAGCCCTGTCATGGAGTCGGCCTCCCCCTCAGCTGCCTGCCAGCGGGGTGCAGGGGCCAGCAGAGCCTTGGGGTGCTGCTCTTGGTAGAGGCGCAGGGTCTCCTGCAGGCACTGCAGGTTCTGCGTGTAGTGCTCCTGCAAGGTCCTAAGCTCCTCCTCGTGGATCGTCTGTAGCTCCTTGATCTTCAGCTGGAACCTGTCCTCTAGGGTCTGCATCTGCTCGCCGTGGTGCCTCTCCATGTCCTGCCTGTCTCTAACAGAGGCATCCAGCTGGCTCAGGACGCGGCTACGCTCGGCCTGCAGTGTGTTCTCGGTCCTGTTCAGCTGCTCCACCACGCACCTGATCTCCTCCTCATACCTTCCCTGCAGGGCAAACATGCTTGCACTGTGCTTGCTTTCTGCCTCTTCCAGACGTTGCTGCTGATGGTCTAGCTGGGCGGCCTTGGCCTTGAGTGCGGCGTTCTCCCTTTCAATGATGGCAATCACATCCAGGTACTCGCTCTTCTGCTTGCGGAGAAGCTCTTCATACTCCTCCCTCAGGGCCCTGGCAGCCTGTGCCTGCTCTGGGCAGGAGGGCCCCCTGGTCTGCCAGGACTCCTTGCAGAGCTGGAGCTCCTTCTCATAATCCAGCCGGATTCTGCAGGCCGCATAACACACCTGGGCCTGAATAATTGCATCTTGAACCAATAATGAAGAATACTGACCGAGGCCTCCCAAACAATTGTTATACGAGAGACTCTGAGACGCCTGGAGAAGCTTCCGACAATCTCCCAGTGACTCCACAGGCGGTAGAGATGGTAAAGCCACAGATATCTCCTCTAAGAGACTGGCCTTCTCCTTTAGCTGCTGGGCGAGCTCTTCCTGAATAGCAACAAGGGCCCTGGAGCTCTGGTTGGACAAAGGAAAGGGTTCCTGGGAACCATCTGAATCTTGGCTCAGGACTTCTCCTAAGGGGCTCAGGTCCCAGGACAGCTGCACACCATCTTCCCTACCCGCTGGAAGCCTGAGGGCTTCTGAAACCTGTTGCATCACTCTCTCAAAGTCAGGGGTTTGGTAGGCTCCCAGGATTTCTCTCAGTAGGCACTTGTGCTGCCGCAGGGCCATCTGGGTCCCCCGTAGGGTCTCCCGGACGCTCTGTAACCTACGGTGGAACGACTCCCTCACCGACTGTGTGGCAAAGCTGAGCTCTGCCCTGACCCATGTGGCGTCGGCCAGGCCTTGTGGGATGCTCGGCTGCCCGCCTCCTGATGTACCAACTGCCTCTCCTCCCAGTGTCCCCAAGTGCTTCCTCAGGGACTCGACCTGGCTCCAGAACTCACCATCCACCAGCACCTTCCTGGCCCAGGCATCTGCGGGGGACCCAGCAGACTCCAGCGGCAGCTTTCCTGACTGTGAAATCTCATGGAGAACACGGGAGATATCTGATGTTGTGTCCTTTAAAGAGTCTGCTATTTGGCTGATCAGTGAGGCCTCCAGAGCTATTTGATCAGAAAGGAGCTTCACTTGCTCCTGTTCGGTCAGCTCGGGCTGGGGGCGCTGCTGAGAGGTTGGCTTCCCGTCCTCCACGATGCTGCTCTCCTCCAGGTGAGCATGGGCCCCACTGCTGGCAGGGGCTGGCCAGTGCTGCAGGGCCTGGATGGCGCTGATGAGTGTGCTCTCAACGCTGGCTAGGGAGGCCACACGGGTGTCTTGCTCCTCCTCCTGGCTGGCCCTCGGCAGTGACCTCAGCTGTTCTCGGCAGCTTTCCAAGCATGCCAGGGCCTGACTGTTCTTTACCTGGAAGTCTCCGAGCTCCCCCACGTGTCCTTCAACCTTTCTGGCCCTCTCCTGCCTCTCCTGCTCTAGCTGGGAGGCCAGCGCACCGACCTGGAGCAGGCTGGCATGGAGCTGCTCACGCAGCTGGGCCTCAGTGCCTGCCCACTGGTGGTGCAGAGCAAGCAGCGCCTCCCGGCTCTGGCCCTGCTGGCTCTCCAGCCTCACAGTCACGTCTTTGAGCTTCTCCTCTGTGACATAGAGCTTGGTCTCTAAGGAGTGGATGATGGAGAGATATGTCTCGGAGTCGCCAGCTGCAGGCAACGTGCTGGGCATGGGCTCCGAGGACATGCTTTCCTCAGAGGGTGACCGGTCCTGGCTAGTGTCAGAAGATGTGCTGCTGGTCCAGGTCTTCTCGGACCCTTCAGGGTGGACGTATCTTTGGCACTGGATAGTGGAGAACCGGATCCTTTGCCTTTTCACACCGGGTATCCCTTGGTCAAGTCTGGCTGTACTCTGCAAATGGCCCTCCCTGTCAGGCACTGCAACTGACTTCAGGTGCACCATGCCCTCTTCTCTACTGGGACTGTCGTTGCCACGTTCCTCCCCCAAGACAACCCCTGGGTCTTCATCCTCAAGCCTTGTGTGTGGGAAGCCCAGGGGTACTCCAGTGGCTTGGAGCTGCTGGCCCAAGAGTAAAGTGCCATCCTCTTCCGTTTCTTCCAGGGCTCTCTGTGGCTCTTCTGTATCCTTTGGAGACTCACTTACAAATTTCCTTAAAATCTCTTCCTTTGCCTGGAGTTTAATTTCTGTTTCCTCTAAGCTGCTCCCCAAGGCAACCATCTTAACCAATGCCTCATTGAGGTCCTGATCTTTCTTTTCCAGAACCTTTTCGTGTACTTCCTTGATGTGCTCCAGCTCTTCTTCCTTCTCTTTCAACAGTGTGTGCATGCTCTGGAGCTGGCTGGAGACCCTCTGGTAGGAGTGCTCCAGGTTCTGGTAGTCGGCCTCTTTTCCCCTCAGCTTCTCTTGCAGCTCAGCCACATTCCCATCAGATGCAGCCACGCGCTCCGTCAACTCCTGGAACCGCTGCCTAAGGAGGTCGCGCTCTTCACAGAGGCTCTGCACATGCTCGGCGAGCCTGCGCACACTGGCCTCCCGTGCTTCCAGCTGCTCCTCTAGCTGATGCACTTGCTCACTGCCCTCGAATGTGGCACTCAGTTTCTCCTTCTGCAGGGCCTCCACCTGCTGTGCGTGGCCCTGCAGCTGGTCCTCGTAGGCACTGGCCTTGTCCTCCACCTCCTTCAGGTTATGCAGCAGTGCCTGCTTCTCCTTCTCGCAGCTCTCCAGCAGCAACTCGTAGTTCCTCTGCAGTTTCTCCTCCATCAGCCGCTGGGCCTGCTCGCTGGCACCCAGCTGCTGGCTAAGGTCAGCGATGCGCTCCTGCAACCTCTGCACCTCCTTCTGCCGGTCCCGCTGAAGTGCCTGCTGCATCTCCAGGTCACGCAGCTCCTGTGTCTTCTCCAGCAGCAGGGCCTCAGCGCTCTTGAGCTTCTGCTCACTGGCCCTCAGCTGGCCGCTCAGCGCTGCCTCACTGTGCTGCCGCTCCTCCAGCTGCTCGCGGACCCGGCCTTGCTCCCGCTTCAGGTCTGCCTTGAGCTTGGCCAGTGCCTGCTCCTTGATGGCCAGCTCGGCGGCCGCGTTGCTGAGCCGGGCCTGGAGGCTCCGGATCTCGGCCTCATGGTGCCGGATCGCGTCCTTGGCCTCCCCATAGCTATGCTTCAAGGTCTGAATCTGGTGCGTGATCAGCTCCTGGCGCTGGCACTGGGCTTCAAGCTCATTTTGGAGGTCTTGGTTGACTCTATGGAGCCTCTGCCAGGCGCCCGATGGGGAGGTGGCCACTTCAGTCTTAAAAAAACCGATTAAATATTGGTTAGTAACACTCGGGCCTCTCAGTTCTGAGTGTCACACCTCTGGCCAGGAACAACCACAGAAAAGCTCCTTGGTGGGCTTGGTTATCCTTTGCACAACTTTTTTCCCATTTAAAAAAAGCCAACAAATCATCTTAATTTGGGGGGTTTTTTGTTTTTGTTTTTTTTGGGGGGGGTAAGTAGCTGCTTCCAGGTAACAGAAAACAAGGACAATAACATCAAAAAACAGCTTTAACCAAATAGCTTCTAGGAGAAATAAACCAAACAAAAGTGAATAATGGAACACACTGAGAAGCAAAACGAAGACCAAAGGACAGAAAGCAGCTGGGAAAAGGGACAGGAGGGAGAAGCAGAGTACCTGCAGCTGCCTGTTTGTGTTGCAAAATAAAAAGTACACAGTTCTTGACAACAAATCCTAAAAAAGCGCAGGACGTAAATAAGTAGATGAATGATGTCACTTCCTTCTAAGAGAGGAAGAGAAGGAAGGAAGGTAACGCTTGTGAGATGCCAGCAAGGTGACATTTGGAACATTTTCCTTTGGAAAGTGTAGTCAGTCCTCTACAGTAACAGGAGGAACTACTCTCTACCTGTAAGAAGACAAAACGAGGATGGGGTTGGTGGGGGGAGGGACACGGAAACCATGGAGTAAAATACAATAATCAACAAAACAAAACCTTTGTGGAGGTTCAACATAAGAAAGTGAAGCATGCAAGAAACAAAACACAAATTAAACAAAACTCCCCAAACAGAAAGGCATGCAGAATAGACAGAACTAATGTAGTGCAGGGAGAAACAACATGAACAGGAGTGAGACGAGCTCAGCTAAGAATTTGGCCTGCCTCTGGCTCTCTCTCGGTCTCTGGCCAGGGAAGCCACAGATGTGACACTCAGTTATGTTAAATTCAAGTTAAACTCCACGCTTGACATCCAAACATGCAAGCTCCTCCCAGCAGTTAGTGCAGCACCCACCCCAGCAGCTGACTTCTGACCCTTAGCCCCAAGACCCCTTTGCTCATTCTGATTTGTGATTATAAGCATTTCCGAAGCTCAAAAGGGTGGCAAAAAGTCACAAGTTATTAGAGTTGGTGGGAAGGTCTTAAAGACCAGCTCTGACCAGTGCTGAGTGACAGGGTCTTCAGTGTAGGCTCATGCAATTGTCCAAGTTAGACACAGAGGCAGGTTCCCAGGTTAGCAATGCGCAAAGTCCACTGCTAGTACAAGCTGAGTATTCCTTATCCAAAATGCTTTGGGTCAGAAGTATTTCGGATTTTAAAATATTTGCATTATAATTACCAGTTGAGCAACCCAATTCCAAAAATATGAAATATGAAATGCTCCAATGAGCATTTCCTTTGAGCATGTCAGTGTTCAAAGCTTTAGATTTTGGACAGTTTGGATTTTTGAATTTGGGATTTTCAGCCTATATCTTTACCACCTGATTTGAATCAATTCTTACAGGATAGGGCCTAACCAAGGTTTAAAAAAGATGCTCTGCAAACCTGGAGGGCCTGCACAAGTGACTCAGGGGGAGGTCCACCATCACCAGCTCCTGGTGCCTGAGAATCTGAACTGGGCATGGCAATGACTACGGTGGAAGGTGCTGGGGAGGAGGGCCCAGGACACATGGGGAAGAAAGAAAGAGAAGGTCCTGGGCACAAGCAGCAGAAGAACCAACACAGAGAGTCAACAAGGCAGACTGGCCAGAGGGCAGCCAAGTGCCCCTGATCCCATCTACTGCCTGGGACCACTCAGACCAAGACCAGTGCATGGCAGTCTGAAAATGTCGACACTCAGCTCATCACAGAGACTCTGGGTCTTTGAGAGCCCTAAGGGCCCTCAGGGATCACTAGACCCAAGTCTACACAGGCAGGAGACTGCTGCTGTAGGGGATGGGACATAAGCACTTGCTTCTGGGGTCAGTGGCAGGGTCAGGCTTGAATCCAGGACCCTGATTCTAATGCTACTCTCAGCCTTCACTGAGAAGTTAGGTTTCCTGGTTTGTCACCCCATTTCACTCGTCTGCTAGCACTTATTCATCAATCTCCCCACCAACTTGACAGCTCCATGGGGGAAGAAGCATGTGTTTTGTGCCCCAAAACTAGCACAAGACTCGGCATGCTACAGGATAGTTGGCACATGCAGACCTGCCCTTGCACCAGGCTAGCTCCTACCTTGTGATACATCCACATGAGGGAGCCCTCTTGTTTTTTTTGAGTTGGAGTCTCAATCTGTCACCCAGGCTGGAGTGCAGTGGCATGCTCACGGCCACCTCAGCCTCGACCTGTTGGGCTCAGGCGATACTTCTGCCTCAGCCTTACAAGTAGCTGGAACTACAGGCATGCGCTATAATGCCCAGCTAATTTTTTATTTTTTATTGTGGAGATGAGGTCTCACCAAGTTGCCCAGGCTGGTCTCAAACCCCTGGGCTGAGGCAATCCTCTCACCTCGGCCTCCCAAAGTGCTGGGATTATAGGCTTGAGCCACCACGCCCGGCCAGGGCTCCCTCTTGTGACACACTCAAGTGTCCCCTGTGAATCTTGCTGCTGGTTAACACTCTGTGGTACAGAGATCCCTGGTGGACGTATCCTAGGTATGGGCTATCAGCTCAGAACCCAGGCTGCTGTCTCCTCATCCCCTCTGGGCTGAACTGACTGGGCTGGCTCAGGGCTGGGTAGCCACAGTGTCCCCTGAACCTTCGACTAGGCAGGAAGTAAAACACTAGGCCACTAGGCTGGTGGCAAGAATCCCAAGTCTGCCTGCAGGTGTGTATAGACACAGGCAGGAAGGAGGAATCCAGCTCTAGTTCTGCCATCAACTTGCTATTCGTCATAAGCATGCACTTGGCTCACTGTGTGATTCAATTTCCTCAGTCTGTACAATGGGCCCAATACTGTTACTGTGCAAACAATTACAAAGAACATGCAAATGTATGGTATTTACAATAAATGTATATTGGCTACTTTCAGATCAGAAAGATCACCACAATGATTTTATTACCAAAAAAGTCCTCACATATAGAGGTTTTAGGCAGATTCCTCAAAATGTCATACTAGGAGAGAAAAATAAACACAGAGACCCCTTCCTTCCCCAGCACACTGACAGCCCCGGTCCCATGGAAGAGAAGCCTGGAGGTGCAAGGTTGGAGAGGTGGTTCCTTCTCAGCCAGGCTTTGCACATTCCTAGCCTGCTTGGGCCTGAGCATGGGTCCTTCACACTGAAGCCCTTGAGTACACTGCAGGCCACAGCAGCCCCTCTGCCCTACCTGCAGCACGTAGCCCTCCCGGGCGCTCTGCTCCCGGCCCAGGGCCACCCTCAGCTGGTCCTGCAGGAGCCGATTCTGCTCTAGAAGGTCCGAGGCCTCCTTCTGGCTTTGTTCCAACTGTTGGCAAAAATATATACATTTTAAAGCAGCATGACAACAAAACAACAGAACATGCAGATTCCTTCACTGTTTTCCACATGGCTCAAAGGTCTTGAAGTTGCCACACTTCAGCAGACATGCTGATCTGGCCTTGACTTGCATGCAGCTCAAGCCACCAGTGACAAGACACATGTGGTACCCTATGGGGGCCATGAGACTGGCTTGTCCTTCCTACCCTGAGCAGCCCTGGGTGCCCATATGATCCCCACAACTGCTCACGGCTCCAATGTGTAGGTCCTATGCAGGTACCAAGGTACCAAGTCCCCTATAGGCCGCTCATTTCTGAGGAGGGAGCAGTGTCCACTGGAAAACAAGGGCTTTGTTTACATCAGGAGGAAGATCCCTCTGTAGGATCCTCTGAGTGCCCCCAGTGTGGCCACACAGGCCTAGCTGGCCTCCATGGGGGTCATTCAGCGTGGTAGCCTTGCTCTAGGTCCTGCCATGACCTCAGCTGAAACTACCCCATTTGACACTTTTACATGAAGGATTCCACAAAGTTCTGTTTGCAAAAAGGGTTCCTACAGTTCCTTTATACAAGATGTGGAGATGTACAAGTAAGCTATTTAAAAATCTTCTGGTTTTCAACAGCTTTAGTTGCTCACTTGTCCATCCACCCCTTCCCCAAACACCCCCTACGTGCTACTCGATATTTGGCCTTGTGCTGGACTGCCCAGTCTGCTCCCTGAGGCTTGTGTGGAGTGGGGCTGTCTGTGCAGCGGGCAGCCAGGCACTGCCAGGCTGTGCTGTGAGGGGTAGCAAGACATCCGATTTGCATATAGTTTAGACTGATCCTCAGACTGCTGAGTCAGTGTGTGGCCTCCTAGCTGGCTGGCCCATTTTGGTAGCTTAGAGCAATGAGAGTTTGAACTGTTCTTTTATTTCATTTGGTCTTTATTATTTTACTAATGGTATAGAAAAATGGAATTTCCAAGCGTTGATGCTGGTGATAACTCAGCCTCATAAACTTAATGAAATAGGAAAAGATGAGAAGTGTGAGGTGTGCCAAAGTAGCAACTCTTTAACTTTAATGAGCTACTTTTTTTTAAAGTCAAGTCTCACTCAGGCTGGAATGCAGCAGCACAATCACAGCTCAGCATAGCCTCGACCTCCTGAGCTCTGACAATCTTCTCTCCTCAGCCTCCTGAGTAGCTGGGACTACAGGTACATGCCACCATGCTCAGCTAATTTTTTTATTTTCTGTAGATATGAAGTTTTGCTAGGTTACCCAGGCTGGTCTCAAACTGCTGGGCTCAGTCAATCCTCCTGACTCAGTTTCCCAAAGTGCTAGGATTACTGGTGTGAGCCACCGCACCTGGCCCTTTACTGAGCTACTTTCATAAAAGAACACATCTGAAACACACAGAAGACTGTCCCTAAATGGAGGGCCAAACAGGGAGCTTTACAGAAAACTAAAATGCTATACCTCCTTGGCCACAGGACATCCTGTCCAGATATACACTGTTGAAGTCTGGCAGATCTGATTTTAGGACATGTTTCTATGAAAGAACACCTGACAGTTAATCTTCAGACTGATTAACTGTCCCCAGGCCACCTCAAAAGCTCATGGGTTCATCTCTGCCTCCAGCTTCGACCTGTCCAACCCAGAGCTGACTAGTGCAGATGCACACCTCACCCTGCTTATGCCCCTCCTACCCTTCAACAGGCAAACAAGGCCCACCCTCTGGGCCCTCAAACCTATTCACCACATGTCTGGCCACACTGGCTCTAACTGGCAGTCCTCCAACTGCCTGATGAACTCCTCTGTCCTTGAAAGATCTGACACCCCTGCCCTACCCCTGGCATGAAGAGAGCTGGCACTCTCCTGCATCTCTCAGCATCTGCCTGGGCTATAAGGAAGGCCTCATCTGTCTGGTCTCCCCTAGGGGTCTGCAAGTCCCTAAAGGATTGTGTGGTTGAACCCCTCAGGTCACAGCTGGCACAGCTGATGCTCAGGAAAGGCTGCTATAGTGGTGGGAAGGAGCCCATCCCAGGCCATTACCTCCTTCTCCAGCAGAGTGGTCAGCTCATGAGTGGAGAGTTGGTCACCTCCATCCTCGGAGGACAGGTGCAGGGGGGCGATGGGAACCTGTTTTTCTTCCCGGAGAGGGGTGGTCTCCACCTGATGCCATCGCTGTTCAATCTCCACATGGACATTCTGTGTCTTGAGGTCAGTGGTCACAGGCAGCCCCGGGCTCCGGTCCACTTCCATGCGCAGGGCTGCATCCTCGGCTCCAGGCCCGTCCACAGTGTCGAGCATGCCGAAGCGCTTGCGGCGCTCCTCCCGCCGCCGTGCGCGCTCCCGTTCTAGCTCACCTGGCTCTGCCTCGGGGCGCCCGGGCTCACGGATGTCAGGGGAACCCGCGGCGCTGGCCCTCTCCTGAGCCAGAGCCTGCTGAATGGGGCGGAACTCGGCCCAGTCAAAGGTCTTGGAGCGGCCCTCCCGCCTCCTCTCTCGTGCACGGCTCCTCTTCTGCTCGGGGTCTGGCTCCCCTGGCTCTACCTCTTGCTTTTCACTCAGCCTAGGACAGGTCTCAAAAGAGGGGCTGCTCTTGTTCTTTTCCTCTGGCAATGAGCTGTGGAGCAAGAGGGCGGACATAGGCTCTTGTGACCTCTGTTTGTCAGAGGGCCGGCCACAGAGAGACACCGCCCAGCCTCCACTTGTACCACGTCCTTTTCTATCCCACCTGTGCTTCCTAAGCACAGGGAGGGACGGGAATGCTCTGCCTTTACCCCAATGTCCCTTCCAGAACCAGTTTTGATGGGGAGGAGGAAAAAGAGCTTCAGCTGGTTGATGACGCCTCCAGCAAGATGGTGCTAGGAGGGTTCTTAACTGAAGAGGTATTGTGAGGGGTGCATGG